ACAACTGGTCAGTTTTGACCGCTTTACGAAGTTTTCCCAGATATGCCGAGTTTTTTGTGACACCCCTAGGTGTTCTTCTACCACCTCACAAAATATCAAGGGGGGTCGTCGGAGGAATTTTTTTTTCGTAATAGAGCTCATATAAAGAGAATTTCACTCGCGGTCACATTTTAGCCCTCGTCGAGGGCTTTGAGTGAAACCGACAGTTTTCCCTAAAGGTCAACCCATTGACCTAGGAGCATGCAAAAAATTAGCCAGATATACTGAGCTTAAGTACCCTAAAGTCTGCGTTGAAATGACCCTCTGTTTTTCCCATAAAATACAAAGATTATATAGGGAAATACAACTGGTCAGTTTTGACCGCTTTACGAAGTTTTCCCAGATATGCCGAGTTTTTTGTGACACCCCAAGGTGTTCTCCTACCACCTCAGAAAATTTCAAGGGGGGTCGTCGGAGGAATTTTTTTTTCGTAATAGAGCTCATATAAAGAGAATTTCACTCGCGGTCACTTTTTAGCCCTCGTCGAGGGCTTTGAGTGTAACCGACAGTTTTCCCTAAAGGTCAACCCATTGACCTAGGAGCATGCAAAAAATTAGCCAGATATACTGAGCTTAAGTACCCTAAAGTCTGCGTTGAAATGACCCTCTGTTTTTCCCATAAAATACAAAGATTATATAGGGAAATACAACTGGTCAGTTTTGACCGCTTTACGAAGTTTTCCCAGATATGCCGAGTTTTTTGTGACACCCCAAGGTGTTCTCCTACCACCTCAGAAAATTTCAAGGGGGTTCATCGGAGGAAGAATTTTTTTTCGTAATAGAGCTCATATAAAGAGAATTTCACTCGCGGTCACTTTTTAGCCCTCGTCGAGGGCTTTGAGTGTAACCGACAGTTTTCCCTAAAGGTCAAGCCATTGACCTAGGAGCATGCAAAAAATTAGCCAGATATACTGAGCTTAAGTACCCTAAAGTCTGCGTTGAAATGACCCTCTGTTTTTCCCATAAAATACAAAGATTATATAGGGAAATACAACTGGTCAGTTTTGACCGCTTTACGAAGTTTTCCCAGAAATGCCGAGTTTTTTGTGACACCCCAAGGTGTTCTCCTACCACCTCAGAAAATTTCAAGGGGGGTCGTCGGAGGAATTTTTTTTTCGTAATAGAGCTCATATAAAGAGAATTTCACTCGCGGTCACTTTTTAGCCCTCGTCGAGGGCTTTGAGTGTAACCGACAGTTTTCCCTAAAGGTCAACCCATTGACCTAGGAGCATGCAAAAAATTAGCCAGATATACTGAGCTTAAGTACCCTAAAGTCTGCGTTGAAATGACCCTCTGTTTTTCCCATAAAATACAAAGATTATATAGGGAAATACAACTGGTCAGTTTTGACCGCTTTACGAAGTTTTCCCAGATATGCCGAGTTTTTTGTGACACCCCAAGGTGTTCTCCTACCACCTCAGAAAATTTCAAGGGGGGTCGTCGGAGGAATTTTTTTTTCGTAATAGAGCTCATATAAAGAGAATTTCACTCGCGGTCACTTTTTAGCCCTCGTCGAGGGCTTTGAGTGTAACCGACAGTTTTCCCTAAAGGTCAAGCCATTGACCTAGGAGCATGCAAAAAATTAGCCAGATATACTGAGCTTAAGTACCCTAAAGTCTGCGTTGAAATGACCCTCTGTTTTTCCCATAAAATACAAAGATTATATAGGGAAATACAACTGGTCAGTTTTGACCGCTTTACGAAGTTTTCCCAGAAATGCCGAGTTTTTTGTGACACCGCAAGGTGTTCTCCTACCACCTCAGAAAATTTCAAGGGGGGTCGTCGGAGGAATTTTTTTTTCGTAATAGAGCTCATATAAAGAGAATTTCACTCGCGGTCACTTTTTAGCCCTCGTCGAGTGCTTTGAGTGTAACCGACAGTTTTCCCTAAAGGTCAAGCCATTTACCTATAAGCATGCCAAAACTGAGCCACATGTAAAGAGAGTAAGTGCCATAAAATCCGTTTTGAAATGACCCTCTGTTTTCCCCATAAAATACAAAGATTATATAGGGAAATACGACTGGTCAGTTTTGACCCATTTCCCGATTTTTCCCGGACATGGCGAGTTTTTTGTGACACCCCAAGGCGTTCTCCTACCACCTCACAAAATATCAAGGGGGGTCGTCGGAGGAAATTTTTTTTCGTAATAGAGCTCATATAAAGAGAATTTCACTCGCGGTCACTTTTTAGCCCTCGTCGAAGGCTTTGAGTAAGACCGACAGGTCTGCCCTACGGTCAAGCCATTTACCTATAAACATGCCAAAAATTAGCCAGATGTAAACAGGGTAAGTGCCCTAAAATCCGTTTTGAAATGACCCTCTGTTTTTTCCATAAAATACAAAGATTATATAGGGAAATACGACTGGTCAGTTTTGACCCATTTCCCGATTTTTCCCGGACATGGCGAGTTTTTTGTGACACCCCAAGGTGTTCTCCTACCACCTCACAAAATTTCAAGGGGGATCGTCGGAGGAAATTTTTTTTCGTAATATAGCCCATATAAGGCGCCGGTCAGTCGAGGTCAGTTTTGACCCCTTCTCCGTAGACTTTTCGGCCAACCGTCACCGGCCTTCGTGTTCTATCGCCCGAAGGCACCATCGTGCCAAATTTGACGCGCCTGCGGCGCCGGGAAGTGCCCTATCGGGCACCCGACCACTTTGCTTTATATATATAGATAAACTCAATATTCTCATACTGATAAAACTATGAATAATAAACTCAATATTCTCGTAGTAACAAAACTATGAACAATATCCTCTTCTGATATTAATAAACCATGAACAATGTTCTCAACGCTATGATATAAAAAATCTACTATCTAATCAATGTTTTCAATGCTGTGTTAAAAACAGCAAGACAGGAAAAAAAAATGTCTGAACTGAATTCTTAAGGATATCAGCCCGGCACCATGCAATGAACTTCTTTGACTCGCTGCCTTCTCCCCGTGCATATCTCGTGTTTATACAAGCAGTGTGTCAGGTATCAGTTTTTTGATATTACTCAATGGGGGTCTATTGATCCGGTGGTTGTGTGGTTGTGTGGTGTGTGGACTGTCGAATCCGGTGGTTGTATGTGGTGTGTGGACTGTCGAATCCGGTGGTTGTGTGTGTGTGTGTGGACTGTCGAATCCGGTGTGTGTGTGGCTGTGTGGTGTGTGGAAGGTCAAGTTGAGACAAGAAGCGACGACACCTGTGCACCAGCTAAATGAAAGTTTTGAGAACTCGTTTTGTATGTCGTTTATCAAAAGGTCAAAGCAATGCTAAGGCGAAATTAGTTTACGAATTTGTCGTTTTGTACTTTGTAAGACTTCTTTCCCTTCGAAATTCTCGTTAGATAATTCTATTGCTTTGTAATAGTAAAAAAAAATACATTCCTATTTATTAAAGATACCGAATAAAACAAATATAAAAAGTAATATAATAATAAGCCAAAAAAAAAAGCTCTTAAAAAGGAAATAACGTTTCATTTTTTAGGAAAAACATTAGTCGCTAAAATTTGTAATTATGAATGACCAATGTTCAATTTTCTTTTTTTTTTTTGGTGCTTTTTAGTCTTTAATATGTTGGTAGTTTGATAGCATGCAGCAGTTGTTGGTAAAGTAAATGTTGGTAGTTTGATAGCATGCAGCAGATGTAGGCAATGTAAATGTTGGTAGTTTGATAGCACGCTGCAGATGTAGGTAATGTAAATGTTGGTAGTTTGATAGCATGCTGCAGATGTAGGTAATGTAAATGTTGGTAGTTTGATAGCATGCAGCAGATGTAGGTAAAGTAAATATTGGTAGTTTGATAGCATGCAGCAGATGTAGGTAAAGTAAATGTTGGTAGTTTGATAGCACGCTGCAGATGTAGGTAATGTAAATATTGTTCTTGTTACTAAACTGCTGACAAATGTAATTAAAATCGATCATCAATTCGCAGCAAATCTCTGAAATTTCGTGATGAAATCATTTACTTCTTTTTGAGACGGAAACGTTTAACGAGTAAACAATGGATTCTTCTTCTTCTTCGTTTTTAATTGTAAAGTTGGGTGAGATTCCCTCCAACACAATTAAGTATTACGTGTCAACTTGTTATATAGACCGTTGACTCCGATTTCAGTCTGCTTTTCTTTTTAGATTTGCTTCCATAGTCTTTGACCATCCAAGAACAAACTACAAGGCAGCAGTTGTTTGATTCTAGAGTTTTCTCTCCTAGAAGAGTGGCGTAATCTACCACGGAGGTTTGCATCGGGATCTTTCTGTTCATTTGATGACCTTTCTTGTGTCGCAACACTAGACAAAACAAAAAAAATAGATTGTGTCTGCGGGGTGGGTGGGTGGTTGGCGTTAATTGCTCTGAACGCAGTAAGAAGTTCATTCTTATAAGTCATTCATGCGAAGTTGTTTAATGATGTAATGATATTTTATTTCATTTTATTTTTTTAAATTTTTTTTTAGTCTAGAAATAACTAAATACAATAACTCGTCGGTTAGTACTATATTAAATAATGCATGTTAGTTTGCTTAAACTAACCAGATATTTCAATGAAAGTTTCGCATTTTTCTGGCAATGATCAAAGCCTCTTAGTTTTTTCGGACTATCTATTATTATTATTTAAACAAATAAAAAAATCTTTATAAAAACAAGCTTTTAAATGCACTGAAAATAAGAAAACTTATTTGTTTTCTTTAATAAAAGCTTTTGTCGCTCGTGAGATCTCTTACATATTTTAGTGACCAAAATTTTTATTCTATCGTAGGTTTATAGTTGTTGTTATAGTATTTATGCGTTTTACTTTCTTTCTATCCACAGTTTGGTCATCCCGTCAAAATAGTTGCCACAACTTAGGCTACGAGAATTCAACAATGTTTGCTATAATGCTCACGTGACATAAGACTTCAGCATCCAAAAAAACAACAACAAACAAATACAATTATATATCAAAATTTGCAACGTTTTATTTACAAAAATAAATTAATTACTACTTCCATCTATCACAGACTGTACCCAACAGTACTTTGGTTATATCCTCTGCCACTTTGTAAATCGGGTGAGTGTCTTGATTCTGACAGGCGATGCTCATGTCTGATACAGGTAGATAGATCACGTGATCCTGCAGGTCTTTAAAAACATCCCTCTGGATTTCTATCATGAAAGGTCGGACAACATCGGCAAAGCTGTAGACACTCTGTCTTGTTACAATGTGAGGACCCTTGAGAGACAGAACACCGACAGTTGGACTACAGTTTTAATCGGTTTTGGTTTTACTTTTTTTATACAGAGTATAGAGAAAGTATTGTAATCGTGCAGAGAAATGTAATGAAATAGTTTTTGGTTTTACTTTCTGTATACAGAGTATAGAGAAAGTATTGTAATCGTGCAAAGAAATGTAATGAAATAGTTTTTGGTTTTACTTTCTGTATACAGAGTATAGAGAAAGTATTGTAATCGTGCAAAGAAATGTAATGAAATAGTTTTTGGTTTTACTTTCTGTATACAGAGTATAGAGAAAGTATTGTAATCGTGCAAAGAAATGAAATGAAATAGTTTTTGGTTTTACTTTCTGTATACAGAGTATAGAGAAAGTATTGTAATCGTGCAAAGAAATGAAATGAAATAGTTTTTGGTTTTACTTTCTGTATACAGAGTATAGAGAAAGTATTGTAATCGTGCAAAGAAATGTAATGAAATAGTTTTTGGTTTTACTTTCTGTATACAGAGTATAGAGAAAGTATTGTAATCGTGCAAAGAAATGAAATGAAATAGTTTTTGGTTTTACTTTCTGTATACAGAGTATAGAGAAAGTATTGTAATCGTGCAAAGAAATGTAATGAAATAGTTTTTGGTTTTACTTTCTGTATACAGAGTATAGAGAAAGTATTGTAATCGTGCAAAGAAATGAAATGAAATTTGAATCGTTTTCGCATTTTATACCTTCACACTGTAGGCGCCTATCGTAGATGGAACATAAAGGATGCATTCTGATCGTGCAGAATCTAAATCTAGATTAGGACAAACTTTAACGCTCTATAAACTTCCGGAGTCGGAAAAACATTGATTGATTTTTTTAATGTTCTAATTTTATTTTCTAATCGATTCTACTAAAAAATTAAATGTAAAAAAATTAATAATTTTTTTTATAGAAAACATGTCTATAGCCATATTGCTCTGCAAGTGTCATCCAGAGTTTCTTCCAGGCATCTTTTCCGGGGGGGGGGGGGGTCTATTCCCCCCCCCCCCCCGAAAAAAGTATACTGCCCCCCCCCCTGAAAATTTCAAGTCCCCCCCCCCCCCTCCCCGGAGAAAAAGTCTGGAAGAAACACTGGTGTCACTGTCATCTCGCTTATTGTTACATGAGAACATAAGAAAAAGTTCAGGGGAGATCACTTCCAAGCTTTTCACAAGCTGTGACTGGGGGGGGGGGAGGGGGCGGGGGGGGGGGGGGGGGGACATGTAGCTCAAATTGGCTTTTTTGTTATTGACAACTAGAACGTTGACGTTGTAGGCACACAATAGAAAAATAACCAACAAAGGCAGAACTATCTTGGCGGACTGCCGAGAAAATTGTCAGAGACAGGACTAAGTGAAAAAAAGCTTTCTCTGGGGGCTCAGGTGTCTTGGGCACAAAGCGGAAATTTGACGATGAAAGCATTGACCTGTTAAAAAATAAAACACTTAAACAACACGAACATGCAAATGTAAAACGACAAGCACATTTACCTGTAAAAAGACTAGCACATTTACATGTAAAACGACAAGCACATTTACCTGTAAAACGACTAGCACATTTACCTGTAAAACGACAATCACATTTACCTGTAAAACGACAATCACATTTACCTGTAAAACGACTAGCACATTAGGATTTCTCTGAATCAATCGATCAATGGCAAGTTTGATGTCCGTCATCATGTTGACGTAAGCACTGAGATGGTGACTGGTCAGATGGATGTAGTGGTTGATGTACACAATATGGCGGCCTGTCATGGGGATCTGGTCGATTGCGTAACTGGAAGGGATCAGGTCCTTCAGTGGGGAGGACCACTCGGTCTGGGGGTGGGGGGGGGGGGGTGGTAGAAGAGAGAACGGGGAACATTAAGGACTTTCAAAGAATATCTTAGATCATTTATTGATTCTATAAATCAATAAATAAATTATACAGCTAAATTTGCATTGTGTTTAAAATGACAACTTCTATAATTCAAGCTAATAATGTTCTGCACAAAAACAACACTATGTGGTACTCACTGAGTAGGACAAACAACACTATGTGGTACTCACTGAGTAGGACAAACAACACTATTTGGTACTCACTGAGTAGGATAAACACTATGTGGTACTCACTGAGTAGGACAAACAACACTATGTGGTACTCACTATAGGACAAACAACACTATGTGGTACTCACTGAGTAGGACAAACAACACTATGTGGTACTCACTGAGTAGGACAAACAACACTATGTGGTACTCACTGAGTAGGACAAACAACACTATGTGGTACTAACTGAGTAGGACAAACAACACTATGTGGTACTCACTATAGGACAAACAACACTATGTGGTACTAACTGAGTAGGACAAACAACACTATTTGGTACTCACTGAGTAGGACAAACACTATGTGGTACTCACTGAGTAGGACAAACACTATGTGGTACTCACTGAGTAGGACAAACAACACTATGTGGTACTCACTATAGGACAAACAACACTATGTGGTACTCACTGAGTAGGACAAACAACACTATGTGGTACTCACTGAGTAGGACAAACACTATGTGGTACTCACTGAGTAGGACAAACAACACTATGTGGTACTCACTGAGTAAGACAAACAACACTATGTGGTACTCACTGAGTAGGACAAACACTATGTGGTACTCACTGAGTAGGACAAACAACACTATGTGGTACTCACTGAGTAGGACAAACAACACTATGTGGTACTCACTGAGTAGGACAAACAACACTATGTGGAACTCACTGAGTAGGACAAACAACACTATGTGGTACTCACTGTAGGACAAACAACACTATGTGGTACTCACTGAGTAGGACAAACAACACTATGTGGTACTCACTGAGTAGGACAAACAACACTATGTGGTACTCACTGAGTAGGACAAACAATACTATGTGGTACTCACTGAGTAGGACAAACAACACTATTTGGTACTCACTGAGTAGGACAAACAACACTATGTGGTACTCACTGAGTAGGACAAACACTATGTGGTACTCACTGAGTAGTACAAACAACACTATGTGGTACTCACTGTAGGACAACCAACACTATGTGGTACTCACTGAGTAGGACAAACAACACTATGTGGTACTCACTGAGTAGGACAAACAACACTATTTGGTACTCACTGAGTAGGACAAACAACACTATTTGGTACTCACTGAGTAGGACAAACAACACTATTTGGTACTCACTGAGTAGGATAAACACTATGTGGTACTCACTGAGTAGGACAAACAAACACTATATGGTACTCACTGAGTTCGACAAACAACACTATGTGGTACTCACTGAGTTCGACAAACAACACTATGTGGTACTCACTGAGTAGGATAAACAACACTATGTGGTACTCACTGAGTAGGACAAACACTATGTGGTACTCACTGAGTAGGACAAACAACACTATGTGGTACTCACTGAGTAGGACAAACAACACTATGTGGTACTCACTGTAGGACAAACACTATGTGGTACTCACTGAGTAGGACAAACACTATGTGGTACTCACAGAGTTGGACAAACAACACTATGTGGTACTCACTGAGTTGGACAAACAACACTATGTGGTACTCACTGAGTAGGACAAACAACACCATGTGGTACTCACTGAGTAGGACAAACAACACTATGTGGTACTCACTGAGTAGGACAAACAACACTATGTGGTACTCACTGAGTAGGACAAACACTATGTGGTACTCACTGAGTAGTACAAACAACACTATGTGGTACTCACTGTAGGACAACCAACACTATGTGGTACTCACTGAGTAGGACAAACAACACTATGTGGTACTCACTGAGTAGGACAAACAACACTATTTGGTACTCACTGAGTAGGACAAACAACACTATTTGGTACTCACTGAGTAGGACAAACAACACTATGTGGAACTCACTGAGTAGGACAAACACTATGTGGTACTCACTGAGTAGTACAAACAACACTATGTGGTACTCACTGTAGGACAACCAACACTATGTGGTACTCACTGAGTAGGACAAACAACACTATGTGGTACTCACTGAGTAGGACAAACAACACTATTTGGTACTCACTGAGTAGGACAAACAACACTATTTGGTACTCACTGAGTAGGACAAACAACACTATTTGGTACTCACTGAGTAGGATAAACACTATGTGGTACTCACTGAGTAGGACAAATAAACACTATATGGTACTCACTGAGTTCGACAAACAACACTATGTGGTACTCACTGAGTAGGACAAACAACACTATGTGGTACTCACTGAGTAGGACAAACAACACTATGTGGTACTCACTGAGTAGGATAAACAACACTATGTGGTACTCATTGAGTAGGACAAACAACACTATTTGGTACTCACTGAGTAGGACAAACAACACTATGTGGTACTCACTGAGTAGGACAAACAACACTATGTGGTACTCATTGAGTAGGACAAACACTATGTGGTACTCACTGAGTAGGATAAACAACACTATGTGGTACTCACTGAGTAGGACAAACACTATGTGGTACTCACTGAGTAGGACAAACAACACTATGTGGTACTCACTGAGTAGGACAAACAACACTATGTGGTACTCACTGAGTAGGACAAACAACACCATGTGGTACTCACTGAGTAGGACAAACACTATGTGGTACTCACTGAGTTGGACAAACAACACTATGTGGTACTCACTGAGTAGAACAAACAACACTATGTGGTACTCACTGAGTTGGACAAACAACACTATTTGGTACTCACTGAGTAGAACAAACAACACTATGTGGTACTCACTGAGTTGGACAAACAACACTATGTGGTACTCACTGAGTAGGACAAACAACACCATGTGGTACTCACTGAGTAGGACAAACACTATGTGGTACTCACTGAGTAGGACAAACAACACTATTTGGTACTCACTGTAGGACAAACACTATGTGGTACTCACTGAGTAGGACAAACACTATGTGGTACTCACTGAGTAGGACAAACACTATGTGGTACTCACTGAGTTGGACAAACAACACTATGTGGTACTCACTGAGTAGGACAAACAACACCATGTGGTACTCACTGAGTAGGACAAACAACACTATGTGGTACTCACTGAGTAGGACAAACAACACTATATGGTACTCACTGAGTAGAACAAACAACACTATGTGGTACTCACTGAGTAGGACAAACACTATTTGGTACTCACTGAATAGTACAAACAACACTATGTGGTACTCACTGTAGGACAAACAACACTATGTGGTACTCACTGAGTAGGACAAACAACACTATGTGGTACTCACTGAGTTGGACAAACAACACTATGTGGTACTCACTGAGTAGGACAAACACTATGTGGTACTCACTGAGTTGGACAAACAACACTGTGTGGTACTCACTGAGTAGGACAAACAACACCATGTGGTACTCACTGAGTAGGACAAACAACACTATGTGGTACTCACTGAGTAGGACAAACAACACTATATGGTACTCACTGAGTAGAACAAACAACACTATGTGGTACTCACTGAGTAGGACAAACACTATTTGGTACTCACTGAGTAGTACAAACAACACTATGTGGTACTCACTGTAGGACAAACAACACTATGTGGTACTCACTGAGTAGTACAAACACTATTCGGTACTCACTGAGTAGTACAAACAACACTATGTGGTACTCACTGAGTAGGACAAACAACACTATTTGGTACTCACAGAGTAGGACAAACAACACTATTTGGTACTCACTGAGTAGGACAAACAACACTATGTGGTACTCACTATAGGACAAACAACACTATGTGGTACTCACTGAGTAGGACAAACAACACTATGTGGTACTCACTGAGTTGGACAAACAACACTATGTGGTACTCACTGAGTAGGACAAACAACACTATGTGGTACTAACTGAGTAGGACAAACAACACTATGTTGTACTCACTGTAGGACAAACACTATGTGGTACTCACTGAGTAGGACAAACACTATGTGGTACTCACTGAGTAGGACAAACACTATGTGGTACTCACTGAGTAGGACAAACAACACTATGTGGTACTCACTGAGTAGGACAAACAACACCATGTGGTACTCACTGAGTAGGACAAACAACACTATGTGGTACTCACTGAGTAGGACAAACAACACTATGTGGTACTCACTGTAGGACAAACAACACTATGTGGTACTCACTGAGTAGGACAAACAACACTATGTGGTACTCACTGAGTAGGACAAACAACACTATGTGGTACTCACTGAGTAGGACAAACAATACTATGTGGTACTCACTGAGTAGGACAAACAACACTATTTGGTACTCACTGAGTAGGACAAACAACACTATGTGGTACTCACTGAGTAGGACAAACACTATGTGGTACTCATTGAGTAGGACAAACAACACTATGTGGTACTCACTGAGTAGGACAAACAACACTATGTGGTACTCACTGAGTAGGACAAACAACACTATGTGGTACTCACTGAGTAGGACAAACAACACCATGTGGTACTCACTGAGTAGGACAAACAACACTATGTGGTACTCACTGAGTAGGACAAACACTATGTGGTACTCACTGAGTAGTACAAACAACACTATGTGGTACTCACTGTAGGACAAACAACACTATGTGTTACTCACTGAGTAGGACAAACACTATTTGGTACTCACTGAGTAGTACAAACAACACTATGTGGTACTCACTGTAGGACAAACAACACTATGTGGTACTCACTGAGTAGGACAAACAACACTATTTGGTACTCACTGAGTAGGACAAACAACACTATTTGGTACTCACTGAGT